AAAAGGAAACTTGTAAAATATGAATGTCTGACATAATAAATACCTCCATTAGAATATCTTACAGCAAAAAAATTAATCTATTCGACCCTAACCGTGGAGCCCAAGCGTCCCATGCTCTTATAACAGGTGCTAAGCCGCGGTACTAAAATTGAAGACGTATCGTACGCCACTGTTTGCGGTGTGCGCTGTTAGATCCGTACTCGTACACACACATAGTCAAGTAAGTAGTATCCCAGGCTATCTCAGACATTCAAAAAGTTTGGATTGCCTCAAACGACCTTGAAAACCATTAGGCAGTCTAAAACAAATCTTATAGCTATATAGCTATGGGATTTTTACCGAGCTATCTGACACTGACCTTGAATTTTGCTTCTACCTCAACACAAAACGTTATCCCAAGACCAACTCCACTGGCTAGGTAGTATTGTAGACCCGAAAATGAGATATTATGGTTTTTGGATATTACATGACATGTACATCACGAAAAACCGTGCCACTCGTTGCATAAACCTTGGCTCGTCTATTATTTTCTAAAAGGACGTGACCACTATACCGACAAAAAAGATTTGTAGGTTTTGATAATAATCGGTCCAGAAGTGACAAAGGTGAGAGCAAAATAAATGAAGAAAAATTAAAATCGCTAAAACTTCATTTGCTTTCAAAACTTGGAATGACAAGAGAATTATGTGTGTCTGGTCTTGAGCTACATACGTCTGCGCTGCGCTACGATCTCTGCGATGAGTGTCGCCTAAGTCCAGCGCGCGTGGTTGCTATTTTCGGTTGCACAATCTTTTCGTCACAAAAATGAACCCCCCAGTTTGTTAATACAAATGCGCGCATATGCGACTAAATAATTGTCGCGGCTAAAAAGATGCAAGCAGTTTTATTCAGAAAGCGACGCTATTATCGCAAATCAAAATAAGTCACATGGACACGAATGAACGTTCACGCACCAGCGACGAATTGTCCACCAGGGATGATAGCCCAGATAGTGCCTTGGACACAGAAAGGATAATTACCGAGGTGGAAAAAAGACCTGCTCTTTACAACAAGCAACTGAAAGAGTATAGTGACCGGAATTTGAAGCAAACACTGTGGGACCAAGTTTGTATGAATGTAATACACAATTGGATGGAGGTCAATGACTCATTGGAGCGGTAAATGTTCCTGTGTCAAAAATATAAAGTCCCGCTAAAAATATTACTTTCACCTTGAAACGACCTTGAAGATCAATGTCAAACTCAAATTTAAGGGCCCTGACAGAGGAGAACCCTGAGAGTTTGCTTCGATAGAATATCTAGTGGATGTTAGATCTTGGACCTCCACGTGTCAAATTTTTCTGAAATGCTCATTCAAACGTAAAATTTTCCACTCTATCCATCCATAAAAAATATAGGGTGTCATTTAAAATAATTGACTAGACGTTGAAATAACCCTGTTTGCCAAGGTCAAATTCAAGGTCAACTTCAGATAGCCAGGGGAAAATTATACCAATGCCTGGGAAGAATTTATTTCAGACTCATGCTTTCCGAGATCATTTGCCGTTCCGGGCTTTTTGAACCGTCTGTATATATGATATGTCGTGAATACATGCGCGGGCCATTTCTTTGCACCCGAACCTTCAAGTCATAATCTTTAATGATGTTAAATGCGAGTTTTTAGCTCTACTGGAGATACCCAACTAAGTGGTGCCTAAACAGCATAATGCGCATCTCGAGTTTCAAATTTTTCCAGTGCACTCTCCTCCAGTATGCGGGGTTTAAGAGCTAAATCTTATTAGCGCAGCGCTATAAAGCAAGTCGGTAGCACGCAATATATAACCTTCTTTAGCCGTCTTGCATCCAACTTCCTGCATGTGTTTGTGCTCTATATTCCCAAAACACCCACATAAATTACGTCGTGGCGGCGGTGCTCCAAACGTTACACCCAGGAATTCCTTCGGGGAATAATTATTCATGACAGCCTCTCTCGGTACATTTTTACTCGCCTCTAGTTTGGGTAAGATCAGTATGGCCTAATTAATGACTTTCGCCTTTGCGTAATGGAAGGCCTGTTGAGGTTGGCTTTTCTTGGACGTAAATTAGTGTTGCTGGGCTCGGTAATTTACCATCTTAGTCACCTTGATATACCTTCCGACGCTCAACTTTGAGAAAGCTTGTAGCATATATGATTTGAAAATCTGGCAAACAAAGATTATCTGCTAAATAACCAAAATATGTAATAAACATATAGGTAGAGGGTATTAATAAAGTAAGTGGTAAATCTACAAGTAGTATGTAGTACATGGCTCGAACCCGGAAAACACAAAATACGAATATTCATCAAATAAGCTCTGTGGTGAGATGAAATTGTCCTGCATAAAATGTTGATAGTTAAAAACATTTAATTCCAGTGGATTTTCAAAATGGAAGTACTTAAGACTTTTATACAAATTTCACCTCAAATATTTAAATCAGTCTTTCTCGAAGAGAAGGAGTCCTAAAAAATCTCTTAAGAGAAACTTGGAGCACGTAAAAAGTAGTTTCCTTTTTTTCTGATCGATTCCAAAATTATAATCATACCACCCTATCTCTCAGTAGGGGGAATTTTCTATATGTTTACATGCATTTTTTGTCTAAGCGCCATATCATCAGTCGTTCGAACAATGGTAGGACGCCTTTATAGCCTCATTGATTTTCATAGTTTTTCCTGTCCAGAAAGCTGCTCTATTTAGAGGTTATGTTACAAATATACATTCGCATCAAATTGTTCATGCTTTTGCTTTTTATCGTCTGTTTTATGAAATTTCCTACAGTTCAAACAGAAAACATAATTAGCAGACCGACACGGAACAGCAAAAATCTAGAAATACCCCAGCCTTTCTGAAGGAGAGAAAAGACTATAAAAATCAAGGAGGCCATAAAGGCGTCCTACAATTGTAGGAATAACTGACGATACGGCACTTACAATCACCCAATGAATCATCCCTTGCAGTTTGGTCGCACATTTTAGGAACAGGGTATACAGGGTGTATAGTATCCAAAATTCCTATAGAAAGATGACCTAACGGGTCATACCGAAAAGTCTGCGCTAAAGAGCGTAACTAAAAATCTAAGAAGATAAGCTCTGTGCCTTGGATATGAGGCCCACAAACTTTAGAAATAATAATCTCCAGAAAACAAATAATTTCATCGATATGGGTTATAAAGTATGGATTATATGGAGAATGGTATCCACATTTTTTGTACAATAATAAAAGCACCAAATTTAATAATACGCTCAAGAAAACAAAATTCATAGTATTACCAAAAAAACGAAATTTGATATTTCATTTTCATCTCATTTTCAGAAATCGGAACCACAGCAACAAATATGTGTGTATGTATGATAAAGGAACGTCCGTCCAACGGACTTATAGACAAACTATAAACAAATAACACGTAATTCAAGTATTTCATTGATAAAACAAAATGAATAACCAATGCTGAATAGAAATCGTGGAATGAGCTTTATTTATCAAGTACCATAGATGAAAACAAACATACTAATAAGCAAAATTAAAAAAATAATAGAAGATAGTACAAATAATAGACCAACATTTAAGGTGGGACATTCATGCAGCTATATTTTAAAGAAAATAAGGTTTGTTACTTACATCATGCCTTAATTGAGCCTCACCTAAGGTATGGTATATTAGCATGGGGTACAGCATATCCAGTGTACTTAAACAACATAAAAGTTTTACAGATTTTAAAAATCATGTTCGGAAAATCAAAATTGTATTCAAAAAATTTATATTTTACATTTCTTGCTTCGGAGAAATAGGTAGAAGTATAAGCATATCCTTGTTTTCATATTCATAATGTTTACCTTATACTCGTGAGGATGTCCTCCAAAAAGAAGTAAAAGGTTGACTGGTATTTGTATCTTGAGCGACATGTCCTGACTTGTTCCAGCTTGTAGTTGACGTGGGAGTTCGTTCACCCAGCATCACTGACAGTTGTACTCCAGAGCTTACACAGACCGTATTTTTAATGGATACAGTTTTTTATCAAATTAATAAGCATGTCATCCTCAAGTGATGAGGAAACTATAGAAAATAATGGCAACGACCTACATCATCGCAGATGAAGTTGCCATTGCTCCCATTATTTTGTAAAAGTCACAAGTTCCAAAAATAAAAATGAGAAAGCACGATGCCTTGAAGAAGATGTTGAAAAATACATTAGATACTAAAGGCTTATTAAAAAAAATCAACAACATGAAATCAAGATTGAAGAAAAAAACAAATCTAAAAAAAAACTGGTAATAAAGCAATTAAATTGTTAGATTGGGAAAGAAAGTTGCTGAAAGCAATGGAAGGTGACTTTAATCCTACAATTGGGAAAATTAGAGGTGCCATTCTGGTTGGTAGTGTTCAAGAAGAAGGAAGTGAACTATATACCGAGCGCAGTGAGCAAACAGTATTACGGCGCCAGCAATTCAAAAGACATTGCCACCAAAAAGAAAATTAGCAACAGAGAAATACGAAATTGAGGAATCCAAAAGGTTAACTAAAAAAGAACTGCAACGTCTAGTGCTATACAGCAGTACCAAACAAGTATTTTACAACAAGAGTATTATAAAACCAAATAAGAAATGATGCAGCGTTAGAAGCCACCTGTAACTTATGATGTTCACGAAAACAAAACTTATTATAACATATAAAAACACTTTAATCAGTAAACCTGTTTATTATAATACTCAAGTTTCTTCTTATTTGTTGACCTAGTTGGCATAGAGGAAGTTCGTCATTCTCATGATTTCCTTCATCTTCGTCTGGGTCTTGATCAACTAACTCAAAGTCAGGATCGCCCTAGCCCTTCGCAACATTATGGAGTACAATACAAGCAATAATTAATTTCGGCACATTTTCCAACTTTACGCGGCAAACATACTGTAGGATAGCTTATTATAATTTATTTCTGCACCTGGAGTAGGATTTCTGAAGGGAGTCATAAGGCATAGACTCAACACCGTAACCATCATCGCCAAGTAGTATAACATTTACTTTATTTATTAGTTGTGATCTATTCTGTGAATTTCTCCATATCCTGGAATCATGCACTGATCTAGGCCAACTGACATCAACGCTTGTAAACATCTCTCTGGCATCAAAAGTGGTTTGTACATTTAAAGTGGGTTTCCCTTTTCGGTTGATATATTCATCTCCATGGCGGTTTGGTTTCAGGATTCCTTTATGTGTACAATCAATTAGACCAAATTGCTGTAGGAAATTTATACATGCTTTGCCATATCCGCTTGGCCTCCATCAGTTCATGCTTGGTAGTTGGAAACTTGATCCATTCGTTCGACTGTGCAACTATGCTGTTCACAACTCTATCCACAGTCCGAGATACCATTGCTTGAGTAACACCAAGTTCCTGACCAATACCTTGTTTATATCCAGGGTCACCGAGATAGCGTTGACATATCTTCATTTTATGAATACATGAAAGTGCTCCTCCTCGAGTTTCCTCATTCCCAACTGAAAATCTGTCCGCAAGCCATTGTATATTTGCTTCTTCGAACCGATATAATTTTTTGAAGTAACTACCAAGTGAAGGTAAACGAGGTTTGTACGTTTTAACATCCTTAACATCCACAATTTCCGTCACCATCGTTTGACCACCTTTCGTTTCGAAGTTGAGTACACTACTGACCACTGAATTTTTGAATGATATGCTTCCTATGCCAAGTATAATGTAAAGATTATGAATATCCGTTTACTTATGTCACTGCTTTGAAGGATATGCTTATAGACAAAAAGCAAAAGCATTTACTCCAAATTATTATAAATACCATCTGGAGGATTTCCTTCAAAATTTGCATGTACAAGGATATCCTTTGTTTTATGAATACGGCTCATTGTTCTTATATAATGGACTACGACTACTACTACTTGCATCGTTAGTTAATATTTGAATCTCATTAGGTAATGGCTTTCAGATATTTCATATTTTCGACATAAAAGAGGATACGCTTGAAGGCAGGTGTCATCTTCAACTTTTATTAATAAACTGCGCGATTCGCTCAGAACAAAACATGCCGTAACAGTAGGTTCATGAATGTTCTAAATTTAGGCCGTATAATATCGACTTTCAGTCTCGAAGATGATAAATCACCCCTAAAGGCGTACCGTAACCTCTTGTATTAATAAAATTTCATTAATTCCACGATAATGTGAAAAATTATTTTAATCGCCCGACGACCGACGACTCTCCATTGTTTTAGGCAATTTAAAATAATAGCGGTACGCTATAATTTTTGGTAACTTCACTGATCCCTGATGTGTTTATAAACGTCAGGGCATTTGATGAATGTCGATAGATACCTTTCTTCTGGGCCATGCCTCGAAATTACCAGCTATTATGGTAACCTTCGAGGTCAAATGATCCAATAAACCATAATTGGGTTCATGGTTGGATGGACTAGGGAGAAGGGGGAAAGGTCTGCCTCGCGACAACACTGAAGCGTGTACTTAAAATAAAAACTTGCCTTTGGTGACATTTTATGGAAGGTATTGACATGGTTTACGTTTGATTTCTACGTCTGAGTCCAGGACCAACCATAAACAATGTCTAATATGCCTAATAGTATTCATCAGTACGATATAGGTCTAGTCTTGAAGCAAACAAGCGGACAAGGTCTACTGAGAAACTAAGCAAGTAGAACCTATCGGAAGCGGTATGGTGACCTCTAAGTTAGTAAAAGAAAGAAACAAGCATGGCTATTGCGTAGTCTGATGACTAGACAGCTGCTAGTGTACGAATAATACGTTCAGCTTGTGCTTGCCCATAGCGTCATCTATGGAGGAATTACTCAAAGACATGTTCAACGATCATGCAGTAGTACTCTGTAGAGCATGAGCATTGAGATGTGACAGAGAGAAAATTGGTTGAGTAGCAGATTAGCAAGATCGCATCGGGGTGATTGTCAGTATTCAGTGATATGAGCTTTGTGAGAAAATTATTACAAAAAAAATGGCTAAGATACTGTAGGTACAATATTTTTGATATTTGAAATCACTTATGAATAGCAAATTAACTTCCTGGTTAGTTAACTATAACCAGGAAGTTAGTATATGCCTGCAAATTTTATTTTCAAGTATTTTTAGTTAAGTTACCAGTACGGGTATTATGTATAAAACCTATAAAAAGTCAAAAAGATCTATAATATGGCATCTTGCAGACTAGAGTGTTTTTAGGGTGCAAACAGTCTTTCCACGTTTGACTCAACTACACGCATTGTTGGTTGCATATGTTTTGTGAAGCTGAGTGGTCTGTTGCTTTCATCTCTAAGACGAAAGTTGGTTAAATAGCAAGATCGCACCTGGATGATTATGTGTATTGGTCTGCATGTGTATAAAATCAGTGATATTTGCTGTGTGAGAAAATCATGACTGAATATGCTGCCAATGAAGTATACCTATTAGCTGTGCCCGACGGGTTATTTATATGTTGTCCTTTCAAAGTTATGAATTACGATGTTTTGCTTTTTTTGTGATTTCAGAAACTTTGAGGAGAATTACGAGAAATCGACACCGCGCTCGCGTTGTGTGTAACTACTGTTAGCATGTATATGACTTCCAATTCGACAGTGTACAGTGAATATAATTATTTCTTATTTTTGCAATTTGCATACGTAATTTCCAGAATGGATAAGAAAAAGTGGATGCGTAACTGATTTCCAGCTTTGAATTCAAAGTAAGAGTATTTGAGACAAGAATCCAATGGAATTATCGTCGACACATATTATTAACACAAAAATCCCCACTATGCACCTGCAAGTATACAACTTAGACCTCCTGTAATGCCATATCTGAAGCAGATTTTACATCACATCAGAGCCAAACATTGATAACTGAAGCATCATAACTTTTAGGCAATACGTACAACTACAAAACCAGTTCACAACGTTCATCAGCTAGTACTACGTTAACGTCTTGTAGAAAAACCTACATAATGTCACAAAAAACTAATACAACGTCAAAGAAAGCGACATAATATCACTTTTCAGGATACGAAATACCCGTGCGGAAATGTATCATACACATATTTATGTTGGAATCCTGCACCTGCGGTTCTGTGTGTTTTCTGCGCTCGGTGTCTGTATCTTGTTTCATACCCTCATACCGTTATACATGTCATACATGACAGGCTCGTTTTATTGAATTAAATTATATAAAATAGCCGAAATTTGAACAAGACATTCGTCAAGCAAGGCAAGAGATGGTAGTAAAACAAGGTGGCCAATCTAATGTCTAATCATCTAATCACTATAGATCAAAGATATGCTAAAAATACAATTCAGTTGGAAAATTAATTAATTAATATTTATTCATAAATTATATGAGTTTGTGAATGTTTGAATAAACGTCTACGTCCATGTTACTTACTATTCAACTACAGCCTGTCTATTTAATTCATGAATGATCTCTTGGTTTTCATATACACCTTAGGAAAAACCATTGTTATACATGGGAAATCATTTCTTGGCAACAGCGCATCGGCTCGTCTACTTTCATCGCTATTCGTACATATTTCCTACCGTTAACGCGCGTGCCGTTGTCAAGTGCGATAAGGGATTCATGACTCACTCTGCGGTTGGGTTTTGTGTAGGAAAGGTGCGTCTTTATTTAATCCAAAATATCTTAAAAATGTACTCGCAAGAAGAAAAGTTTCAAATGATAGAATGGTACATCCAGAATAATTCAGCACGCGCGGTTGTTGAATTATTTGCGGTACGCTTCCCAGATCGGCCAATTCCTTTTTTTTTTTTTGTGAGGGGGGAATGCGTTTACGCACCATACCATAGCCCGAGCTACGGCGTGTGTGAGACTCCAGGTTGTCTTGAGGAGACCACCTAATACCCACTAAACCCTAACCTCCGCGTGGCCCGACTCATCAGCGTCTCGGTAGGCCATGTGTTGTGCGTGACCTGCGGTCTGCTACAACGTCTCCTCATGTGTTTCAGTCTCTGGGAACGCCGGGTTGGTTCCCTTTACATCGCCCATTCTATCGATGTCGTTAAGCGATCATCGATAGAGGGTCTGCTAGGTTCTCTTGAAACTCTTGTTTTCGAAAAATCAAGAGTTTCAAGTCCTCTTACCTATATATTGTTCCTGGTCCTGGTCCTGACGGGTCCTGGTCCTGGTGGGTCCTGGTCGTGGCGGGTCCTGGTCCTGGTTGGTCCTGGTCCGGAGGGTCCTGGTCCCGGTGGTTCTCTGCATCCATGCCGTGGGGGGGGGGGGAGGAGCAACCGCGGGTTCTCCTAGTCTCCTAGTCAAGGTTCCAGTTAGCAGGTGCCAACTGGGACCTTGGTCTAGGGTACCTGGTTCTGCGGTTGCGAGGCCTCTCGTCCGGATCGTAGTCCATGAGGAATCGTAGCTGCTCGTTCGGGTGGTCCTGAGCTTTCTGGAAGGTCTTCTCCGCTTTTTTCCTCATGTACTCGTGAATGGTGTCCCAATGCAGGTCTCTACGCAAGGTTAAGTTTCTTACGTAGGATGGTGCACTGGTGGCGATCCGGAGTAGCTTCATCTCTAGAGCAGCAAGTCGCTTGCGGTAGCTGAGGGCAGAGTACCCCCAGACCGCGGAGGCGTAAGCGAGCTGAGGTCTGGCGATGGCCTTGATCAGCCGTAGCTTGGTCGCTAGCGGCATCCGGCTGTGTCTACCCAGTAATGAGTAGAGTTGAGTCATGGCTGCTCTGGTCTTTGCAATGACAGCTTCTATGTGGGCTTTCCAGGTGAGGGACTTGTCAAATACGATCCTCAGATATTTGACTTTGTCGCTCCACTGGATATCTTCGTCGAAGATGGATGCTTCGAGAGGTCTTGCAATCCTTCTTCGTTGAATGAAGATTGCCTGCGTCTTCTGGACGTTGATGCGGATTTTCCATTTCACGCACTAGTCCTGGATGTGGTCCAGTTCATCCTGTAGTCTCCTACGGATGATCTCGGGTCGTCGATGCTTGGCGGCTATAGCAGTGTCGTCTGCATATAGGGCCAGCATTGTGTCAGCTGTCTTCGGTACATCGTGAGTATAGATGCTGTAGAGTAGGGGGGCTAAGGCTGACCCCTGGGGCACGCCTGCTTCCAGCTGTCGTCTTGTTGAGTGGCATGTACCAATCTTCACCGTGAACCATCTTTGTGTTAGATAGCTCTGGATCAGTTGGCACATGTTCGCATCGATTCCGGCGGCTTCCATTTTGGCGATCGAAGGCTCGTTCCACGTCCAGCAGGACGAGGCCGGTTGCCTCCTGGAGATTGAAGCCGCTGGTGATGTTTTCTGTCAGTCGTAGCGCTTGGAGTTCCGTGTTGTGGGAGGATCTGAAGCCGAATTGCTCTGGGGGGAGAAGTTGCAGTTCTTCTGCCTGCTTCTCTAGTCGAACGGCGATAGCCTTTTCCTGTTGTTGATGCC